CCTCTTACGCTGCTGCTGCAGCGCCTACATCCGCGCGGACTCTTCGCCTCCGAGCTGCATGCAGTGCAACTCGTGGAGAGAGCAGCTGCTCAGGTACAGGAAGATTCAGCAAGGCCCCACCTGAGCCTCGTTGACAGGACCTTGTCAAGAACGGGCCCAGCCAGGAGTTTGAGATCCTGCTGGCGAAGACCTACTTGTCAGTCCGGCAGCTGGAGAGGGTCAAGGAGATGCTGCTGCCCCCCGACGGCATCTTGGGCAAGGACAAGAGGCACGCGGTCGCCATGACGCTGTTGGGGCATGCGCTCTTCCTCGAGGGCCGCTGGGACACGCTGAGCTGCGACAAGCCCGCGAGCTCGTCGGGCAAGGAGGTCATGAGCTTCTACGAGAAAGCGATGGGTCAGCGCAGCCCCAACCTCGAGCCCCTGCAGTACCTCCGGCTCTGCCGCCTCTACCTGTGGACCGGCAAGTTCTACGAGGCCAAGGATGTGGCGATCAAGGCGTGCAAGCTCCTCCCCTCCGCCTCCTCCTGGCTGGCCCTGGGCCTCGCCTGCTACAAGCAGAACGAGCTCGGGCAGGCTGAGGAGGCGCTGTGTGAGGCGAACATCCTCGACCCGTCGAACCCGCAGGTGTGGGGGATGCTCTCGGTGATCGCCATGGAGGCCGGGAAACCGGACGAGAGCGAGCTGGCCCTGCAGCAGGCGCTCAAGCTGGGGCTATCGACGTCAGAGACGTTCCCCGTAGGGACTTTCATCCTAGAGCAGATGGCGAGGCTGCAGGTCAAGGCCGGCATCTTCAGCCTCGCGTCCTCCACCCTCCGCAGAGCCCTCGAGACGAGCAACCGTGCGGCGCTTCACCTCCTCCTCGCCCAGACGTGCCTGGGAGAGAACGACCTACCTGCTGCCGCCGAAGCTTGTCGGCAGGTGCGGAGGGAGGGAGGAGAGGAGAGTGGAGGGGAGGGGAGGAATGAAAGGAGCGGAGAGAGGAGGGGAGGTTGAGTGCTGCCGCTGTTGACGAGGACGCAGGTGTTGGAGCATGAAGTGCAGCCCTCAGAGGCGGAGAGGAAGGATGCGCTGACCCAGCTGGTCGCCATCTACAAGCGACTGAAGCAGCCAGCCCTCGTGGACAAGTACTCCCACATGCTCAAGAAGGTGGGGCAGTGGCAGAGTGAGGAGAAAGATACGGAGGAGGAGGAGGAGGAGGAGGAGGAGGAAGTAACAGGGCCCAGAACCTGCAAGTAAAAACTTGGAGCATGTTTCTGCCTCCTCTTTCATTCGGAGCAATTGGGGTTCATATCCCCCCCCGCTCGAGAACTCCGAGGTGAACTCCCATGTCTTCCCCGAGTGCTCTCCTGTGCTCTCATCCGCTACTCCTGCCCTGATGCTCTCCAGCCCGTACTTGATCAGATCCCCGAGCTCCCCTGCCATGCTTCCGCTGCTCGCTGGCGCCTTGGGGCAGGCTGTGAAGGCAATTCGTGAGGAGAGGAAGGGGAGGAGGAGGGGAGAGGAAGGAGGAGAGGTAGGGGGAGAGGAAGAGGAAGGGGAAGAGGAAGGGAAGGAGGAGGAGAGGAACAGGAAGAGGAACAGAAAGAGGAAGAGGAAGAGGAAGGGAAGGGAAGAGGAAGGGAAGGAGGAGGAGAGGAACAGGAAGAGGAACAGAAAGAGGAAGAGGAAGAGGAAGAGGAAGGGGAAGAGGAAGAGGAAGAGGGAGGCTGCAAGAGTTACCTCAACTTTCTTGAGCTTGTGTCTTTGCGCAAGAACTTCAGCTGCGGACACTCCGAGCCCACAGCTCGACGAGTGAGACTGAGGAGGAGGAGGAGGAGGAGCGGTGCTTCTGATCCCCGCACTTGAGTTCCTGTCCGCACGTCAGCTGAGCAGTTGGAAACTTAAACTGCTCACGGGGCTAGAGCTTGTTGACCGCAAGGTTTGGATGGAAGGGCAGCAGGCGGAGGAGGGGCAGGTGGAGCAGCGGCAGGAGGAGGAGGAGGAGGAGGAGGAGCGGCAGAAGCGGAAGGAACGGATTTCGACGCAGGAGGAGCAGGAGGCTCCTTGATGGCCAAGCCAGCAGCTTCCATGAGAGGGATGAGAAGCTCTTTGATGTCTTCGTCCGTCCTCTCGGGGTTCTCACGATGGAGCGCTCGAACCTGGAGAGCAATGAGGAGGGAGGGAGGGAGGGAGGGAGGAGAATAGGGGAGGATGGAGCACGGGGACTGAGTCAGAGACCTTAGAAACCATGACAAGGATGTTGTAGGAGTCGAGGGCGAACTTGGGAGGGACAAGCCAGGGATGCTGCTTGAGCTGTCGGGTACGTCAGAGTGGCGACGAGGAGGAGGGAGGAGGGCGGGGAGAAGGGAGATGGGAGGAGAGAAGTAGGGAGGGAGGAGGGAGGGAGGGAGGGAGGGAGGAGTTGCCTGAGGGATGGAGGGCCTCTTGGCAGGATCTCGCTCGAGGGTTCGCTTGAGGACGTCGATCAACTGCCTCGTGACGTCAGCTTGTCGCTTCCTCCCTCTGTCTCCTTCACCTCTTTCTCCACCGGCGCACTTGGGCCCATGGCTGGGAAGTCGATGTTGTGATTCTTGTCCGTGATAGCCTACAAGAGTCTCAGGAAGGCGGGCAGGAGCAGGAAGGTTGAGATGTGTGGTAAGGCCGAGGAGGAGGATGTGATGGCGATGGTGGTGGTACTGGTGGTGTAGGAGGAGGAGGAGGAGGAGGTGGTGGTGGTGGTGGTGGTGGTGATGATGATGGTGGTGTTGGAGAGGGAGGAGGAGGAGGAGGAGGAGGAGGAGGAGGAGGAGGAGGAGGAGGAGGAGGAGGAGGAGGAGGAGGTGATAATGAGTGGTGGTGGTTGGGGAGGGAGGAGGAGGAGGAGGAGGAGAAGGAGGAGGAGGAGGAGGAGGAGGAGGAGGAGGAGGAGGAGGAGGAGGAGGAGGAGGAC